CACGCTGAGCGTGGATGTGCGGACCAGATATTCGCACTGAGATGGATCTTTGAATTCCGCCATAGGTACCAACAAGCAACGGCCATCTCTTTTGTTGAATTTGCCGCTGCGTTCGTTTTCGTCCATCGTTAATCCCCGTGGTGGATGATCGCTCTAGATGGTGTACCATCGAAAAACATCGCCATGATAAAGGCAGGCTACCGTTCCACCACTGCGTGGGTTCTGATACATAACGACCTATTTGAATCGTTCGGTATTCGATCTAGCATTCGATAGGACTGTGTTCTGTCGCCCATTACCTTCAACAACGCCATTGACTGGATTCTTTGGAAAACCATACGTGAAGAGGACGGTTTTGAACTTGAGCCCGGACGCCGGCTGGTTGATCTAGACTAGGCCGATGATACCGCTATACTAGCTTCAAGCTTTGGCTGTCTACAGTCCATAATGTCACGGTGGATAAATCGCTGCGTCAGTTCGCTTGTCCATAAATACCTGAAAGACTAAATTACTCTCGAGCTGCATCTCCGACCATGAGAAGGTACGCCTGAGGAGTAATGGCCTTAAGCTTGAAGAAGTAGATAGCGTTGAATATCTCGGGGCGAATGGACATAGAAAGGACGATATTATCTCCCGTATCGATGCTGCTCGTCGGGTTATCTCAACCCTCCAAAAGTGCCTTTGGACTCGACGCAATATTTCCATTGTCACAAGGGTTAGAGTGTAAAGTTTATCCATCCGGTCAGTCCTTCTCAATGGATGTGAAGTCTGAGCTTTGCTTGTGGAAGATGAGCGAAAACCGGGAAATTTAACCCCCGCTCTTTGAGGATTATCCTCCGAGTGAAGTGTATCAACTTCGTCTCAAATGAAACAGTCTGCACTTTCTGCGACAGTATTGCGAGGATATTTCAGGCCGTCCAAGGAAGACGACATGGACATGTTTGGACATGTTATCCGTCGTTCAACTTATTAAATTTGCTTGGATACCCTTGATACGGCAAAGTAGCCCACCCGGAGCCGCCGAACAGGTGGGCAACTCAAGACTTGTCTCAACACCGTTTGTCAAGACATAGCAGCGGTTCTTGGACCTTTGGATTTCGATCTCCGTCGCTGTAGAAGAAAATGGTTGGGGTTTTCCAGGTCTCCTGCCACGGATCATTAATAGTGAAGAGGTGCCATCCGTGACATCATCGAAGTCGGCTGCCTGAAATATCAACCCGGGGTTCCGAACACAATAAATCCCAAATTCTGGAGATTTTTGCCCCTGACATACGAGCTGGGATTTGACCTGTTGATTATAGTGATATAAGTGCACCCACGGCTTAGATGCTACAAATTAATAGACATTCAAGCTTTTCATAGCTAATGTGGCACAAATTTGAAAATACTTTCCGAGTATTTAATTCAATGACTAGTTTGCGCCGTCTGACATAATTTATCGGGACTGCGGAATATATTTTGGCAGTTGGGTCTTTTACAGTTTTGTAAGCCGAGTAATGCTTTTTTACTTTTCATATGTCAAATTTGCCGGGGTTTGTTTTTACACGCTAATACGCCCTAGTGTCCACTTTTCGAGGCGCTTGATTGGCCTTTCGGGGGTAATCGCAAGGATTTTCGTGGGCGTCAGGCTTTGTGGTTTTTACATATTCATCCGCGTAGCGATCTAATTTATTGTCACGCCTGTTAGTGAATGCTTAGCACAAGCATAAAATGCCCAGAATAACGGCATCTAATGCGTTCGCCGAACTACAGAGCCAGGGTGTTATTAGTAAAGAAGATCCCAATGCCCTTTTTACAGACCTTCATCAAATTGGTGCTGGGAATTTCGGAATTGTTTACCGGGTAAGCTGTTTAAAAATCTGTGACATATTGGTAGGCTCGTGATAAAATTACCGGAGAAAATGTAGCAATCAAGAAGTTGAAATTTGACGCCAAAAGAAAGTTTTTGTCGGAAGACTTGAATGACATGATACGTGAAATAAAATTCCTCAGTATCGTCAAGCATAAGAACTGTATCGAGAGCAAAGGCTGCTATCTAGACCACAACATACCCTGGGTAGTTGCATGGTTTACTTGACCTCTTTTTAGCTTGTAATGGAATATTGCCTGGGTTCCGTTGCTGACATTCTCGAAGGTAAGAGTTTGGATAGAGATTAAGTTCTTCGTAGTACAAAAACATCCCTTGAAGGAGTTGGAAATCGCCGCTATAGTCAAGGAAGTATTCTGTGGACTTGTTTTCCTTCATTCCAAAAACTACATCCACCGCGACATCAAGGCCGGCAATATCTTGTTTTCGGAACATGGTGGTGTCAAAATAAGTGACTTCGGATCCGCTAGCTTCCAAAGTCCGGCAAACAGTTTCGTCGGAACTCCATTTTGGATAGCTCCTGAAGTCATAATGGCAATGGAAAGTGGACTATACGACACTCGTGCAGATGTTTGGTCACTAGGCATTACATGCATTGAAATGGGTACGTTCCTTCTCGTGTCACTTGTTATCTTATTATCTTACCATAATAACTAAGCCATACACTTTTATCGTGTAGTAGCACTCGCATTCGCGATTGTCGCTCATGAAAACTACCTTAAATGAGGCGACGCCTGTCTAGTCAGCATAAAGGTCTACTGTTTAGGAAATCTATGCAATTCTAATAGACGATCCTTAAGAGATACCCCCGTACCTTCGTTCTTAACGTATCAGAAGTACATATTCCTGATGTTCAAGTCTATTTCCTCTGTCACTAGTCATTTGCCGTTTTTCTACTAATAGTCATGCCCTTGTCCTCCACAACGACTGTTCTCATGTGTCACTACCGTAAGGCACTGATATTCGGGCCAACGTCGAAGCGGAGCAGTGCTAGTTTATGCGTCACTAGTCTATAAACAGACATGGCCAGCAATCCTATGCTCAAGGGGACGATTTTGCCTCGAAACCGAAATATAAATTTGTGAGTTAAGTCTGGTCGTTAGTTGGGGTGGCCGTGTCGTAAAACAGAAGTGCTGGTAAGCTAACTAAGACTATCTGATTGATGTGGGTTTGCCACCGTTCTCCCATCTAAGCCCACTGATTCTGCTGTGAAATGTATCAGACTTTTGAAATAGTTATGCCTTTTCACCATGTCCACATAAATACTTACAGACTGCGGTGCGGACTTGCGTACAAATGACTTCTTTTGGTACTTATTGTGCTTCCCCTCGTTGCTTACCAAACACCGGCCTGCATTACAAAAGAAAAACTACCATTAGGAGATGTTTGATTGTCTTATGTCTGTCGGTTAATTCAAGTACTTACAAATTCATCACAACTGACGTATCTTTCTACGGAACTCCCTTTAGCTTATTTTCTGCATTCCGCGCTCCTTCCTGTTTACTATTTCCGATGTCCGTGCAAAAATTATGCCCAGGTATCAGTATACGCCATTTTAAAAGAACTCGACAAGTACATTTCCACATTCAACCCGATCACCATTTCCAGTGAGCCGTTAAAAACCAACTCGTTTTTGCCAGTCCGTCTGCGCTAAAAACACGCATTGTGTGCGTGTGATTTCTTTACTTTCTATAGGTATCGTGTGTACTAGTGGGCGTATGAATTCTTCAGTCTAGTGTTCGGTTGTCTTAAGAACACTGCATTTACTCTAAGCAATGGCATTGCACACAAGTAAGACTACAGGTCCAGGCATAGGGCTAAAAAAAACACCAATCAATAGGTTGCTAAGGAGCCCTATTTTACATACTACAAGAAGCTGCCATAGTAGCCGTACGCTATTAAGGTAGTACTTGAAGCGCCTGGATCCTGAATCAATTTCTACAACTTAGATAAATAGCCCAAAGAACATTTAAGCCGATCCCTACCCGACATCTTATCGTCTTGCATGCTGCGGTGTTCGCTAACTCCCATCATCAGTGTCTTTAGTTTACAGTTGACATTTTTTGCCCAACGCAACTCCCAGCACTGAGTGAGCTTTGGTAATCCGTTGGTGAAACTGACGATTTCGTTCATCCCACACTCACGTTTTTCAGTCACTTTAGTTTATTACAAACCACTGAGCTTACTATCACGCCAATACGAATTTACTTTCGTATTAAATTCTTGATACGAGCAGATACTGAAACTGCTTTTTAAAAGCGCGATTTTGTTTTTCTTACGGCTTTGCATATACACTGTGCATTATTGGAAGACGAGTTGTGTGATTCGCTTCTATTGTGATTATAATATTGCAAACGAAATTAAAATCGCTAATTACCATTTGGTAGTTGGACATGTAGTCATGGTGGCTTACATCTTCAATCATAATGAGGTCTCCAGAGTATAATTTCTGTCAGTTTTCAGTTACTATAGGAGCCGTTACAGTATTGATAACCTTGGAACACACGGGGCTTGCAGACTTTTGACTGAGCTTTATTGCAATCAGCTACTTAATAAATGCATTTGTTATCCCTTCTAAATGCTTGAACAAACCCATACATGCGTTAAACAATAACAAACCTTCAGATTTTACACCAGTTTTGTATAAGTTTATGCATTCAGCTTCGATGCTTAAAGGTGATGTCACAGTTAAAAAAATCCTGCGACTCCAATACTTTTAAAGCGTTTATAGGCTTATTTGTGCAGTCTACTATCTGCATATTTGTCAATATTTTCTACTATTTTTATATATTGGAATATCTTAGGAGTACCAGTTGGTCGTCTCACAGGGAAATAAAACATGTATGTTATTAGAAAAAAAACACCCTAGCATTTCGAAATTACAGAAACAAGCGAAATGTCATGTTGCCCGGAAACATGTGAGAACTAGTTGACTTATCTAAAACCAAAACTGCTCCTTTCCAGTATTTTTTTCGGCAAAACAAACTACCCTTTCGTGCTTCTTCTTGTCATTCTTCTTCTTCTGGTGCTAAGTACGATTAAATTAATACAAGCGTTGGAATACCATTGAACATCCATTACTGAAACGACGGATTTTTGCGGGCGATTTAGATGAAATGACGGATTTTTGCGAGCGATTTGGAAAGCTATCAAGCGTATGCTTATTCGAAAGCCGACTTGCTGTCGTTTATGATTTGGCTCTGTTTTATGTTCTATGCTAGTCTTTGGCTGTCTTATCAGTTTCAGTACGCACTTTCTAGTTATTTTCATCCCTACAAAGTTTTTTTAAACTTCTGCCAAATTCCTAACAGTACACGGCAGCCTGATCTTTTGAATATACTTCCCTGATAGAAGTGCATTGCGATTTTTTTCCGAAACTGTCCATCTGATTCGAGTTTTCGGGCATATTGTATTAATTTCACGAGAAAACATCTGTTTGAATTGGCCTCGTTTAATCCTTCCCCTTATCCACAACTTTGAAAGTCACCACTGTTCGTGCTCTGCGGTTGAAAGTTGACTACCTCCGGCAATCGTTCAGTTAATGTTTGGTCCGCCACTACCGAAGATTGTCTTCTAGCATCGTCTACACATCCGACTGTAGTAGCTCCCATTTTTTAATTCTCCACTTTTGCGATGGCGCCGATTCCAACAGTAGTTAGAACGACGTCAGAGAAGGGTCCATCTTTGGGCAGACGGGTTGCGTGACACGCTCATCTATGGCGTTTTTTTCTGTGCCAGCAGTAAGGGACAGCGAGAGTGTTCTATTTTCAAAACTTCTTTTCGATTTCCCTGAAGTCCGTCGAGTAGAGTTTTCAGCTTAGTGGCTGACAAAGGTCACGTTTAATAGTCGATGCGTAGAATGGTACTGACCCCAAACTGGATCTTATTTTCTGAATCTCGCAGCGCTACCATAATAACTCCAGAAAACGAGGGAGAATGCCTCATACGATTTCTCTGCGATGCGTCATTCCCCTCTAATGTGGTTCTGTAGGCAACATAAGCGAATCGAGGTAGATAAAAGAGTAGGCCACCCTGCTTCAGCGACTATTTCGTGTTTTTCTCTGAAGTTTTCAAGAGGAACAATGCAGTTTTCGTTGTTCAGATCTGCCATTAAGGTATTTTGCCTGGTCTTGACGTCCTTTTTACTGTGGTGGGCGCTCCGGTATCAACCGAATAAGAGTAATAAGCGTTATTATCTGATGACCGCTTGTCGGCTAGTAGTTTTTTATTTAGGTTGAGAATATTCGCGTGCGTATCACTGTGCCTCCAGACGGCACTTTTGCCTCTCTCCCCCGCATCCAGTGTTGCTGCGAAAAAAACGACGCAAAAACTTCCGCTCTGCTAAAAACGTCGCGGGATCCGCTGAACGCTGTACTTTTGATCTGTTAAGCCTATTACTAGCGTGAAAAGTGCATTTGTTTTGGTCTGGTTGAACTTGGACCGAGGTTGTAAGTAATTTTGGTACGATATCTCAAGAACCTAAAAGATGTATGTTTATCGATATTAGGAGAGACGACTTCTCATGTCATTGCTGTCCTCATCGTCCTGTGTTATTGAGCGGCGACATGAATCCTATTAGCCTTCAGTACCACTGTATCCATCTTAAGTTTTTTTGATGCTGCCAACGCTAACTTTCGTAAATCTTGTTGCGTCCTTTTTTAAAATAACCCTTGGCGAGTGTACCGTTCAAGCTATAATTATCTCCCCTGGATTTAGTCAAATAATCGTCACGTCGAACGTTGACCTCTACTTCTACAGGTTATGAGTCTATTTGAATTGCATCTACATGACTATCAGAAGACAGGGAAAGAGGCCCTACTTTTCAGTGAGTAAACAGTAAACCCATAATAAGTGGGATTTTTTTCTCTCCCACAGATGCGGTTGATTAGATAATAAAAGGGCATTAGGAGAATACCGTTACAATTTAGTTCTATAAGACAGTAACCTTTTTTTTATATGATTTTTGGTCCCTTTGCAGTGTAGCATTTTTTCATATTTTTGTGTATTCCACCAAATAGATTGTACACGACCATTTCACGCCCTGTTTGTGTGAAGTCGGCTCAGTTTTCCGCGGTGTCTACCTGCTTGTTAAAGTAAAAAGACAGAGATAAGTGCATGCGTCGTTGACTCGAAGAAAGGGCGTGGGCTACAGTTTAACATACAGTGAGTGGTTTGCGCCGTCTTCGTTTTTCACTCACTTCTAGCAGTAGACACACTACTTAGTACCGAATTCCTGTTTTAAGCTCTGCAGCTGAACACTGGTATATTTTTTGTCTAGGGAAAGCTTTATAATCTAATTTTCGTGAAAACGGCATTCGAATGCGCATTGATTTTACGCTAGTGACTGAACCTTAGCCCTACTACTCTGTCTCTAACGTCCTTAAAGACCGCGTGTCGGGACAAGCATGTCTCTTAACCTGATCGGTGAACTTTCTTCCACTATAATATGGATTTGTGTTCATAGTCTCGCATTTCCTGCAGACTTTAATTGACATTTCCCGCCTGTTTACTGTCGTCGGCCGGCCACAATTTGACCAGACCAGACCGGAACTTAGAACCCGAGTCAAGTTTATCATTGATCTTGAGTCCCAGGCTCACACCCAGTTCACAGACGATTCAACTTCCTCTTATCCCCACACAAACCACCGAAATGTATTCACTTCGCACGTTTCTACTGTGTTGTGGGTTTCCACATTGCGCGAGAAGCGACTTCCCCCCAGCTTCCCTGCAAAGGCGTTTCTCTTATGTCCTGACACGCACTGTTTTTATCAGTCCCTCAACTTTGCAGGGCGCGTTTGCACAGGAG